ACTAGCGTTTGTGCAGCTTTAGTTTATGAGATATTAAGAAATATAATTTTGCCCGATGACGTCACCACTCCCGTCTGTTTTGGAGCAACATGGGGGGATGGTGACGTCATCGGGGCGACATTATATTTCTTAATATCTCATAAACTAAAGCTGCACAAACGCTAGTTTCACCGGAACACACGAGCACTAATGAAGCACTACAAAAGTAGACCACTCCCGTCTGTTTTGGAGCAACATGGGGGGATTGTGACCTTTGGATGAGCTAAAAATTAATCTTTAATATCTCAGAAAGCAAAGCAGCACAAACGAAAATTTTAACGGCACAAACCAGCACTAACGGAGCACTAACCATTCAGACTGCTTTAATTTTGGAAGTGGGTGGGGTGTCAGCTTCACTCAGCTCATTTTAGGAGGGTGAATGGAGCATGCACTAGCTGGTTTCAATGGCAGGTAAATCTGACAATCATCAGCATAACAATGGAATGAAATACCATGTTTTCTCAGGATAGACCCCAGTGGGAGCAAACAGAGTGAGAACAGAAGGGTTCCAAGAATCGAGCCCTGTGGGACCCCGCAGGAAAGAGGCATTGAAGCAGATACATTATTACCAACCATGACACCAAAACTCCTGTCATGCAGGTATGAGTGGGAACCATTCTCATGCAGCACCTGTAATCCCAAACCAGTGATCCTTCTGCAATATAAGGACACTGTGGTCAACAGTAGCAGCAGTAAGATAAAGGAGTACATGTACCACAAATTGACCAGAATCATTTGATACCAGAATATCATTACAAACCCTCACTAACGCTGTTTCGGTGCTGTGAAGTTGCTTAAAACCAGGCCGAACAATCTCAACAATTCTGTTCTCATTCAAAACCTCATTTGTTTATTAGTTTGCCTTCTTATTAATTCAGCCCAGCCTACAATTTTGCTTTTATGTCTCCTCTATTTCCACTTACATTACTTTAATCCACCCCTCAATTTAGGTCAGCAGCAGCAACTAGTGCTTTCCACCCATTGGTAAATAACTGGTTCTTAGTTATTCTATTTTAGCTCAACTATGATATAGTTAACAGCAACTTCCAATTTCCTTTTTGTCTATTGTGTGCTTTGACATTTATAAGTTCAGTTATAGGTCAGGAGGGCCTAAATTAACTTGACGAACTGGTACAGATGACAATATTTGTTGTTATACTGGCGTTATGGACAAGTGTAAGCAGAAACGGAGTCTACAAAAATATTAAAGCAAACATAAGAGGTGGTGTAACGTAGATAAATGCCATTAATATCGTATTACATCCAGAATAGCAAAAATAATAAAGCTTCAAATTTTGTTGGACAGTCTATCAACACGGCTACTAATTTACACACCGATATAATCAGATTATTTGGTTTGGTCTCGGTGACTTTGGACTTTTCCCTCTGGAGCAATTTCCTCATCTGCGCCGCGGAGGCGCGCGCGCTCTCAGAGCAGAGTAGCTTCCTCTTCCCGTGCGCGTGCCCGGCCCGCCAGAGGAAAAATAGAAAATGGCGAGCCTGTGCAAAAAGCAGCAATGCACAATCGACAGGCGCGGCTTTCGGCAGGAACTTGACTCGTGGCGACACAAACTCATTCACTGTGTAGGTAAGAATTCTGGCAGTCGCACATTTTGTAATTCTACTGCTTAAATGTCGCTTCTGCGCGACCTTTATCGGTGTAAATAACCATCTATTACCGCACTAACTGACGGGGCATCTCCGAGCCGCGACTTTTTTTTTTTTTTTTTTGGGGTCCTCAACTGTTTCTCACTACAGCCGGTTTGGGCTGCTAGTTAACTGTTGTGGTCTTTCAACCGCGTCACTTTACCTCTGGTGTTTGTCCGTGTGTGTTTTTGACGTGTTTTGAAGACACGAACTGTCTCCTGGCCTAACGTTAGTTTGTTTAAAGGGCTCCGTGTTTGCTTTAAAGGGAGTGTCAGTTGTTGTTGCGTCGGCCAAAAGCGACCCGTTCTTTGAAAATGCGCGCTCCCGTGCGATGATGATACTGTATTTTAAGGTGGGGGAGGGCGACGCAGACCTTTGAGGTGATGTTCTACTTAACTACTGCCTTCCTCTAAACTACCGCCCCATGGACGCCCATTACTTTACTACAGCCAGGAAGTAATGCAGATCGGCGACTTTCCTTTCGTTTCAAAGGACACTATAAACTTATCTAATGTTAGGTTTATAGGGAAAAAAAACTGTTAAGAGTGTTTTAGACTGTTTGTACGTACATCAATTAGCTTAATGGCTGGACAGAAAGTGCATACATTCCAGTAAGTCTAAAGCCAGTGCCATTTAGGACTAATGGTCTTCAGCTGCAGTCAGAATTAGGATACACACTGTAGCTTGTTGTAATTTATCATTTGGTTGGCATGATTTAAGGTGTTCATTGCAATATCATATAGACAAAAAAGGTAATTAACTTAATCTGCACAATATTTTTCTGATATATATATATATATATATATATATATATATGAATAGAATAGAATAGAAACAGCCGTTATTGTCCCACGGATGTTAAATTCAAGTGTAACAGCAGCAACAGATAAAAAGATTCACACGAAAAGTTCCTAAAATGTTAAAAACATTATATGAAGAAATAAGATAAACAATATCAGTAATAATGTTCAGTATGCGTTGGAACATTGCGAATGGCAGACTATTTACAATACAGTATTCTAGGCAGAGTGGGTGATTGAGCAGAGGTCAGCATGTATTTAATACTAAGTGAGTTTATTGGGAGCAGTGATGGTTGTAGAGTCTAACAGCTGCTGGGAGGAAGGATCTGCGGTAACGCTCCTTTGTGCATTTAGGATGCAGTAATCTGTCACTGAAGGAGCTCTCCAATTCAGCAAGGGCTCATGTATGGGGTGGGAGACGTCCTAAATGAACTACTGTGCTGTTTGTTTACCTTCGGAAAGAGTTGAAGCGACTAAAAATAAGTCAGACTTACTCGCCTAGCAGAAGTTTAGCAAAAGTGGTGTTTTTGAATGTGTAATTCTGTTTTTATGATGCTGCAGCATCCTTCTCAATTCCCAGTTTTTATTCTAGACAGTTATGTTACTCGATTTTTCTCTTCTTTTTTTTAGCGTTTGGCAGCAGATTCACTTATTATATTTCCACCTAAACTACTTAAGAGTGTCAACGCTTGTCCGATTCCTTCATATTTGTTTCCCCGCAGACTACGGGCAGCCTAATGTAGGTCAATCATGTGACTCAAGCTTCCATGCAGTTTGCAGCAGATTCAGCAGCATGCTTTTGTTGACACTGTGTGGACCTGTAATTCAGAATTGCATTTAGTATGTGTGGAAAACTACAGAAGTAAATGACTGATGAAGTCCTTTGGATGAAGGACAAAACGTCTCAACAAAACAAAAAAAGAAACCGACCAGATGACCTGACTGAACTTTGTTGGATTTTCTACCTGGATTACTGAGCATGAACTTTGATACAGAAGTAAACTCATTCAGACTACACAATTTAAAATATTCAAGGATACCCTGTTTTTGTTTGAGTTCATTCCATGAGTAACTTTTTAAAATGTTCTATTGTAAACCAAGTAAAATTGTGCTAATGGACACGTTTGTTGTCTTTGCATCACAAATGTGCAACTTGAGGTTTGTGAAAAGTGCAATTGGATTAACTGGACAAATAGAAGTGCATAATCTTCAAATAAGAATGAGACATAGCTTTGTGATTAAGTTTTATGTTTCAGGCAAATGTCAATTATAAATGAATTATGTCTGGTATATTAAACACTAGTCGAGTAAAAGTTATAACATAATGGGATCATTTTTAATATATTCAATCAATCAATCAACCTTTATTTAGACAGGTAAATCCCATTGAGCCTCGAGGACTCATTTACAAGAGTAAATTCAACAAATGTAATGTAATGATTGCAGAGTTAATTCAGGAAAACAATTATCCAGAGTTAAAGCTGGAAGTTTTTTGCAAGTGACTATCAAATCCCATTCAGATGACGGTCATGTAACATCAGTGACCCAATCACAAGTGGACACCTCAAAAGTGTGAGTGTTGCAGTTAAATGGGTCCTGAGTGACCATGTGTGATCAGCTCCTATACCATAAATAAACAGTACTTCTGCATGGTCACACAGTCTGCTGATCAGTAATCGTAACATCAGGTCTGCTGATGTTTCTGTAAAATTTAATCTACATTCATTGACCTGAACTAAATTGTGTATCAGACACAAATGTGGCTTACTGGCAGCAATATATTCATCAGAAATTGGAAAATTAGACGTGCACCATTCTGGTAGGGTGCATGCTCCCGCAAATAATTATAGAAAAAAAATGAAGGTAATATTTTGGGCCAGTTCAAATTATTTTATGCGTAATAACCTTCCATAAGTACCTGCTTAGAGACAAAAATACCTCATTAAAAAAAAAAAAAAAAAATTAGCAAATATGTTGATGCAAAGGGCCTTTAATAATGAAACGATATTATGGTTGGTTAACAAACGCTACTCACTTTGTCTCGCTATCATGATAAAATGAAAACACCCCAAAAGGCTGTGAAGGTTTAATTTACATTAAATGATTAGTAATATGGATTTGGACTTTTGTGTTAAGGGTAATATTGAAGTAGAGATGCACTGATTCTGGTTTTGTGGGTCGATACCGATGTCCGATTTTTGAATAGCTCTGACCTGCTGATACAGATTTTTTTCTATACAAATTTTCTTTCATTGAACTAACCAGTACAAACTTTTATTCAATATAGCCTGATGCATGCTCAATAATCCAGGTAGAAAAATCTTAAAACGTTAAGTCAGCTCCTCTGGACATTCAAAAACAAAAAAATGTAGAAATGTTTCGCGTTTCATCTGAAAGACTTCTTCAGTCAGACTGAAGAAGTCTTTCAGATGAAATACGAAACATTTCTACATTTTTTTCGTTTTTGTGTTTTTGAATGTCCAGAGGAGCTGACTTAACGTTTTTAGATTTTATTCAATGTTTTTTGTTATTCAAAAATTAACTTGAACAAATATTTACTATAAACAACTTTAATAAACTTAGGTTATTTTTGAAGTGCAGTAGGATATAGGCGTTCTCTGCCTTCAGTAAATAAATAGCAAGTTTATTTCGGCTTCTCCCTTCATTAGGGGTCGCTACAACAAGTGAACCCGTGTGAAAGATTTGCAAATTGTTTTACGCCGGTTTCCCTTCCTGACGCAACCTGGGTTTGAACTTGCAACCTCAGGATTACAAGACCACGGCACTGACCACCGAGCTACCACAGCCCTCCTCTCTTCAATAAATAAATGAATAAATAAATAAAATGTCACTAAAATGATATTAAATTAATATAGGGTCCCGCTGTCTGCAGTGGCATTGCAACAGAAAATGAAGGAAATCAAAGAATACCCCCTTTTGTGCACCAACACTTACCCCGAGATGCGGTAGAGGTAGGGCAGCCGACTCGGGACCCCAAAGTCCCAGGTTCGATCCCCAGCCATTCCCACATGTCGTGGCATCTCTGAGCAAAACACCCAATCCCCAATTGCTCCCCGGGCACCCACATAGTTACCCACTGCTCCACCTGAGTGCATCCCAGGTTTGATGGGTTAAATGCAGACAACCAATTTCGCCATTGTATGGAACATACAATGATGACAACACAAAGCACTTACTTACAAAGCACACGTTCTTAAAGAAATAGTTTAAGGTAGTGATAACTCCACTGAACACCACTTCAGAACCCTGAACCACTTTACTAACATTTATCTTTTTTTTATTTTTAACCTAACTTAAAACATAAAAGCACATAAGAACATGAAAGCCTCAAAATGCACATTTAACTTCAAGTGTTCAATTTGTACTTTGCAAAAAAAAAAAAAGAAAATGGTGCACCATCATGTAATATTAAATCAAAACACAGAACAGCACTTAAAACATATTCCTTTTTAACCTTTTATCTTTTTACTCAACTCAGATCACAAGTGTGTAACACAGAACACGTTCAAAATATTTTAAAACACTGCAAGTGTTCAATTTGCACTTTGTAAATGGAAGTATGTGCACCAAGTACTATAAAACAACAACAACAAATGCAACAAGGCAATTTTATGTTCTTGTCAACAAATACTGGCACACTGCAATCACTTCAGCATTGGTAAGTTTTTCTTCACAAACAAAAGCATTTCTACCATGTCATCATCTTTCGTTGTTAATTCCAGCCAAGGGCAGCAGGGGTATCTGGTGGTGGACATCTGTGATCTCATGCTGCTTTTGCCTTAGCCGCTTAGCTTTGCTTTCCTTACTGGGTATGTTGAGGGTGATACAGTATTAAATGTCAAATTCAATTTGTTGTCCCTGATGTTTTTGTTGTCGCTCCTCCACAACTAATTTCTTCTTTATATCTTCTTTATACAAGCTGTTAGCTTTTGGTTTCCTTTACTCAAAAAAACAAAAAAAAAACAACCTTCCTCACTGAAGACCTGTTTGTTGTGGCTTCTGTGGACTGTGCTGATGGTGCGTTCACGGACCGAAAAAATGTAGGAAATTCTCTGTACTAACTGTATAAAACCTTTGGGGAAAAATTGTTAATTATTTTGAATTTTAGGATTTGTCGGGCCGGTCACCGATTTTGAGCTGATCAAAGTGAAAATTGGTCGATAGCGATTTCAGGCCGATTGTTTGGTGCATCCTTATATTGATTATTAAACACTAAATGTATCCTAAACCACCTCAAACCATGAGATTGAAATGCTTTTATTTACCAGTTTAATGCACAATACCAAAGTGTTATATAAAATGCCATATAAGAGCTGTACCTACACAAATGATTGCAATTTGTGCAAATGTTCATTGTTGGTTGTAAAAGCAGTGTGAATTAATTCAGTAAAACAACTTATTTTAGTCTCAGTTCTAGGTAGAAATATACACATCAATGAAAAGAAAGTGAGGAGACAATTAGCTTTCAAACTGGTCCCTAGCTGTACTCTCAGGACTGTTTTGTCAGTCCCCTCATAATGATTGACAAATGTCTCCTCTGTTGGGGCTACAATTGTAAAGCTGCAGATTGTATGACAACAGCATCAGCCTGCTGCTTGTAGAATGGCATATTCTGTCCCACAACAACAAGGACATACTTATGTTAGGCTTTTTGGTGAAGAGGGTTGCACGCCACCACCACTCCACTGTCCCTGAAATGGACATTTTGTCCCTGTATCTAATGCCAGCAGTAATACTGCAGGGCAGAGACAAGCACAATTGTCCCTCAGAACAGCAGCATCAATTGTCCGAATGTTTGCCCCATACATGTATTTATGAACCATCAGCCCCCAGACGCAAACTGTTGCTAAAAAATATGTGTTTTGTCAGAATTTGAGCAAATTCGGAATGAAACTGCACTAGTTGACGTTCAAAAATGTCTAGTATGTGTCAGCCACCCTTGCCTACATTTAACATGCAAATGAAAAGAGTACTGTAAAGGGTTTGTCCAAACAAAAACAAGCAAATATGAACATGAGAGACTTGTTTTCATTCAATTTCTGCCTCCTCTCTGTTTTTTTGCATAGTTTTCTCATTTACAGAGTAGGTTGATTTCTGACATATTTTCACAGCTGTATGTTTGCATCTTTGTGTGTCCACCCTTTTCAATATTTTTCTAACAAACTTTCTTTTTTTGTTCTTCTAAAAATGACTTAGTGCAGTATGACACCATTTGACTATTATTTTTCATCATATCTTCATTATAATAAAGTGCTGTAGAGTTTACTCAAACTGTAAAGATTTTTCTTCTTATGTTTAGTAACTTTTGTTTTTTCCCGTGCTACGTCCTCCCACCTTCTCTGATCTTTGATTTGTTTGATTTCTAATTTGTTGAGATGATCGGGGTGAAAATAGTCATGTGGGAAGTATAATGCAAGGAAGGGAATTATAATGCGGTTATATTCTGTAATTCTCGTTTGAGGACACTGGTCACTAATTTAAGCAAAGTTCTAGATTTTTTTGAGGTTTCAAGTTGCAAGTGAAGTGACAGGTTACCAATACTTTGTGTGTAAAAGTATTTTTTAAGTACTGTATTTCATTGCTAGGATTCTACACATGGTCTTGCATTTCTTAGAGTACAGCTGTTGTAGAAAATACAAACATTTATTTAGGGCAATATGCTGGTGAATAGAGTCCAGTTGTTTTTATATTGAACATTTTTTAAATTTCTTTAGGGCTTTGAGTACAAACGCACTAAAACAACCACATATTTCAAAACGTAAAACTAAAAGGTATGGGTGTTTTTTGAATATGTTCTTGCCAGTGTATTAGATCACAAAACTGAAATATAAGCATAATAAACATCATGTTTTTATGCACTTGAAATGCATTACAAAAATGACAAATAAGGTGCTCATTGAGTTTGTGCATAGGCTCATAAAAGACAACACTGGCATCTTTCGTACAGCCAGAAATAAGTAACAGAGGGTTTAATTATGCATTATATTGAAATTACAGTAATGTGCAGGACAAGTTAGGTGTAGGAGGGAGTTATGCTAATCTCTGGTCTTGGGGATTTGTCTTTGTAAGTGCCTTTGCAAACGGTAAGGGTGTCGCACTCTCCAAATCTTTTTGTCTTTGATTGGATCAAGATGTAGGTCAGAAGAAGGCTCGGGGAGATTGCACATAGAGAAGACATGTAGGCTTTATAAACTGGCTAGAACACTTCATGGTAAAGGTGCGTGAATTATGGTTTATTCAAAAGCTATAAACAACATCAAAGTTCAAATTTGCTCCTTTTCCCTCCATGAGACGATTTTTATTAGTTACAACATAAGCTTACAAACTTCCATTTTGCTGAAATAATTTATTACAAATGTTTATTTAAGATGCATATAATTAATAGGTTTTTAAATGTTTTTAGCTTCATAGATTAAAAGCTTTAAAAGTCACTATCTTGAATTTGTATGATCTAAATCATAAGGAACAATTTTATATGTTGCTGGTGGTGTTTTTCTTTTGGCTGCTCCACTCTGTGAGGGTCGTCCTTGTGAACAAACTCGCACCAGAAATTCAGCAGTTGTTTACGTCTAATATCCAACGTGACACAACCTGGGCTCAAACCTGCAGCCTCAAGATAACAAGACGCTGTCCACCGAGCTACCACAACTTTCAGGAAACAATTCTATATATTTTCTCTTAAATTTAACCTTTGGGAAATACATTTTTACATAACTTTGTGGGGAAAAAATGTGCATATGTTAAAAATGTTAATAATTTTTGGAAGGAGAACATGAACATTGATTTGTATCCGTATAATAGTCCCATGAACCTCATGTCTTTTCTTGTTTTGTTTTATATTAGTTATTAGGTTTGTGGGCTATTATTTCAGTCATTCTGCATCATTTTTATTCTGCACCTTTTGTTTCTTATTGATTATGTTTCAAAAGTCAAATCTTTTCACCAGCTTCTCACTAATAGTCATATTACCCTTTTTATTGTAATGTTTACCGCTCTCCATTAGAAAGGAAAATCATCTCGCGCGTAAATGACAAATGTTGAGTGTACTACATCAGTGTAGTTTTGTATGTTGTAAAAGTCTTTAAATTGTAGATGGTATTCAGTTTTTTTGTATACATTTATTTTTCAGATTGCTTGAAAGTTTCACATTCAATAAATATTTCATCTCCAGCACATTTACTTTGCTGGTTCTTCTAAATTTGTCATGCTGGTCCCATAAAGCTTTGACTTTAAAGACACTTGTCTGTAGAAGTTCTTACAATGCTCCTTACAATGCTGTTTTGGATGAAAAATATATAATGTGGTTTCAGAGTCATGGATTACAAAGTGACACTTAAAAAAAAAAAAAAAAATGCCTAAAACTGAATTCCTAAAGAGTAGTTTGATGTCATGGCGCTGCTCTGTCAAATGAAAGTGGATGACCCACTTTTTTTGCTCATGCCTCTGAAATATTTCAGAAATAGGATTGGATCGCTGGAGCTGAAGTCCTGCGCACTAACCTAGAAACAGACCCATGCTGCAGCTATAGGCAAGGGCTGTGCGTACACTACTTCACCCCCTCCACCCACCCTCCACCCCCGTTATGTTTGGCTGCTGAAAAGTGGGTGGGAATTTGTAGTGAGGCAGAGTGGGGCATTTTAACACATGACAGCATTCACAGAATTCACTGTGAGTTTTGCAAAAAATTTAAATAAGAGGATGGTGAGGGCTGACAAAATTTCTCACAGCTTTGCGTCTTCATCTGTGAAGTTGTGTGTAAGTAGGCATTTTTTTGTGATATGCAATTAGACTATTCAGTTATTTTTATTGTATTTGACTTGTAAATATCACTTTCTTTTATTAAATATTTTGTTTTCAATGCTTGTAATCTATACATGTTTGAAATTGTTTAAAAAATACATCTACTGTCGTCGTTAACGTGAACTAGTTTTCTTTTTTTTGTAGGTTTTTAAGTGAGTGGTTTATTTGAAATGTGCTCACTTTTAAGATACAGTTCACTGGACAGATGTTCTCTTTGACCTCTTTACTGCTTGAGTTAGCATGTTGTGTTTTTGGATTGGTTATTCTGACCTCAGGGCTATAAGCAGGCATTGCTTTTTTTTGTTAATGCATATAGTTAAGACCTATGTAGCACATAAACCATGACTTTCACACAGCTGAGACTGTGGATTAGTTTCTTATTTTATATTTGCAATGAAGGCTATTGTCATCGTTTTTTTTTTAATTTTGCTCACCTGTCTGCCTTCTTTTTTGTGGAATGGACATTTATTTTTAAGTTCTTAGTATTCATTTTGTGGGATATTTTCACAATTCTATGCAACAGTTATGAATGCCTATTCATTTTATGTTTTAGCAGCAGACTGAACTCTGAAGCTTTAGTTGCTTGGCAACAGAAGGATAAAACGTGTATTTATTGTTAAAGTAAAAACCTCAAGTGACGGCTCATAATGTATGTTTTAAGATGGGGGGAAGGCTTTGATTATATAGTGGTTGTGAAGATGAACTAAAAACAGACATAGACTAGATTTGGTGTATGGCTGAAATGTTATCACATTAAATCTTACTGATGTTTTGTATTTTAAGGCGCAAACATTTTTTTACTTCTCTTGAGTAGCACAAATTAAATTTAGCCCTTTGGCAAAAAGATGATCTTAATCAGTGATTCATTTTGAGTTTCTCTTTTGCTTTGACTTCAGTTTCAAGCTGCAATCGCAAGTAAATAAAATGTGAGTTGAAATAACTTAACGTATGTTCAGCTGGTGAGTTAAATACTTAATGATTTGTGTTTTTCTTCAGGTTTTGAGAGCATCCTTGAAGGTCTGATTTGTCCAGAGTTGCTAGAAGACCTAAAAGTATTTAAGGGTAAGTTTCTGTTCATTTCCTTTGTTGTGCTGATTATGACAGTTCTGTTCATTGTACCATCTGGTACCCCAGCACATTGATTCAAGACAAGACAGCACTATTGCCAGTCGAAGAGAAAATGGCTTGTTACTGCAAAGTAGGTGTTTTAGATGAAGTGGGATCCCATAGAGATTTTGTACAATATGTGATGGTACTAAGACAATAGTAGACATTATGTGTTGTCATTGACTTTTTTTTTCTGAGCCAGAGTAGATTTGGACATTAGCATTTGCATTCATTATAACCCACTCATGTTTTTCATTTATGCGTCTTGTCAGTGGTCATGTCACTGAATTAAAAAATAAATGTCAAAGTATTGTATCTTTAGGTTAAAAACAAGAAAAAGACAATTCTGGGGTACTCTATTTGAAGGTTTATTGTATAATTTATGCATTGCAATAAAGTACTTTAGGGAATGTTCAGGCATTAAAACAATCTTTTTTTTGCCTTTATATTAGATAATTTTTTTTTTAACTTTATTTCTCTTAAAAATTTCTTCCTGTAATTTAGACAGAATTGTTAGTCATCATGCCACTGTGTTCGAGTTCATTTAATAGTTTAGAAAACAGTTTTTTTGTTGTTGTTTTTTTTAAACTCAGATTTACTTCACACTTGTTTCTGTTTTATGTCCACAGACTCTAATCATGTTGCAGTTTCTGATTGGTCATTTGATGAAAACTGTATATTCTGCTGTCTGAGAAGAGATAAAGTTAAAGTAAGATTTCTTTTCTTATTCCTCTTTTATACTTGAATCAAATTTGTGTGTTTTTTTCTGTTCAGCTGTAAAATGGAAAATTAAAAGTATCTGTTTTACTAACCAAACTGTAATTTCTAAACATTTAAATTATAGCTGTAGCAAATGTGTTGAACATTACAGTGGAGTTTTCTTGTGGATGTAGAGGTTAAATAGTAGATTATAAATGTATGTCTTGCAAATGGTGCCTGTTCTCTTTAATCTACTAGGGAGTCAGATGCTTTGATCAAATCACTGATCAGAATAAAGAAAAACATCTTATTGTGCTGTTTGTATCCTGTTGAATACTGAAGGCCACTGATTTAAGTTTTGTGATTTGACAGGAACACTTGATTGGCTTAAACAAAGGGCTTGATGAGACACCCAAACGTCTCCTGGTTAAAGATCAGCTCACAATCATCAGACTAGAGAAGCAAGCCGAGGAGTTTCTCAGTGCAGTTCTCTGCAGAAAAGGTATGTCTTAATGTATAAATGGTGTTACAGGACTGTATCAGTAATTTGCATTAAAGACAAAGTGATGGATACAAGCCATTGAATATTTACTGTTTTGTGCAAAAGCTTTTAGGTCAGATTGTTGTACTTTCTACTGAACGGGAAACCATGTTATCATGTAGGTTAATTGGTTTGTTTTGCAAGCTGGTCACAAATAAGATGTTGTTCTTTAAACTTTGTTAGGATACAGTTTATATAATGGGAACCACTACAGCTGGTTCAGAAAAGACACGCACTGAATATTTTTTTTTTACTTCTCCTTTTTTCGTTTTTTCCAGATGTGCCAAATTTCTCAGATCCAAACATTCCAGTAGTGGCTCGAGAGATTCTTCAGAGAATGATCAGTCAGTTTGCTGCCGAATATACCTCAAAAACCAGCTCCCCTCAGGACAGTCACTCAGACTCACCGCCTCAATCTGACCAAAGCCTGCCGGCCCCACGCTCCCTGTCAGTGGTTCGTCCGAAAATCCCTGCTGCCACTCTGGCTGGGCCTGCACACAACCAGAACCCAGTTCTGTGCAAGCTTCTCATGGCTGACCAGGATGCTCCCCTTGACCTCACCATCAAGAAGCCCCTGGCAGAGCCCACTGAACAAGGTAGTGTGAAACAGAACGGAGGAAAAGCTCATTATTGGAACTTCACTAGGTGTATATGAGACTGAAAATAACACTGAACCTTAAAGTATTTCTGCTTTATTTATTTATTTCACTATAGATGGAGTGCTTGACCTATCCATCAAAAAGAATCGCCATAGCAACAGCAGCCCACCTGGCCACAATCCCTGCTTTTCTCCTGCTACATCCACACTGAAGGGGTAAGAACATTTTCATTCTCTTTCTTCTTAGTCCTTATGACGTTGGAGATCAGTTGGTGTGTTAAAAATAACAGTAAACACAGCTGTGCAAACCGATATCCTCTATCTAAGAAATCTAAAGAACTGAACCACAGGGAAAATACAGCTGATGCTGATGTTAATGTACTTTTAAAACCTACTCCTGCGCATCCAATAATTAAAAAAAAAGTTTGTATTATGCGAACTTCTCAAAAATATGACCATGAACCTGAACAGGAAGCATCTTATAAGTTAGTAAACGGGTGTGCATTGCCCTGTTTTCTGAAACAACGCTGGTTGGCCTGAAAACAACATGTACTGTAGGACTTGCCTAAAGTTTTGCATTTCAGTGCAAGGTTAGTGAAAATGCTGGATAAATTTAAGACAATGTGAATTTGTTTAAAATCAAACTGAAGGTATGTTTTGTACTTCATTATGCTTATATCACAAGTATTTGTCATAAATAAAAATACTAATGACAGTTTCTGTAAAACAGTCTGTTTGAATATCAAGCTTTAGTAAATTTAGATTTCTACTTGGATTTGGTTTAGTTTGGAAGCAAAACCCTTTGAATCGTTTTATTCAACCAAACTTAAATGACCCTTTACCGGTAATTAAAAACTATTTTTGTTTTATAAATTATACACCAGTTAATTTTCATTCTTCTTCTTTCTCCTTTTAGTTCTATGAAAATTGGCCACATATTTTCAATGTTTAATTTGCATTTGGTTTACATCCAGCCTTGCGTGTATGCAACATGCAAATATATGCACTTTGTGAACATCTCATTTAGATATAAAGAGTGTTGTCCTTGTCACAACTATTCACATTAAAATACAAATTATGAGATGAAGCAGTGAAAACTCAAATTATCATTTTAATACCTCAAAAGACAGTATTAATATGCAAATATGTTGGTACCGTCAAAGTAATTTAATCTAAGGTAATGCGAACCTATAATGAATAATTTTAAAATAATTTAGATCCAACAATTGGCAAAGCATTACAAATTTTAAGTTTGTACATTTTGTGTTGTAAAGGACACAACAACCCTCTGCTGGCATACTCTTTTATTGCTGTGCTTGTTCTGTGGTAACGTCACACACAAAATATCAAGTTGTGTTTGCATTAATCATTACGGACTGCGAGTTATTGTGCTCTGCTTAAAATCTACATGCAAAGTTCCTGAAGTTGCAATAACAATCCCTCTTCCTGGTTGTGCATTCTGAGCCACAGGAATTTAAAGACTTGTATGAATTCCAAATAAATACTCTTTCTTTCTTTTATTTTTGTTGTTTCTTTCTTTTTTTTTAGTTTCTTCATCTTATATTCTTTCAAAATTTGTAAAGTGATCTACAAAGACAAATAAAAAATGTTAAACCGGAGCCTTTTTCGTTCTTAGGTCTTGCACACAATCGTGTTCAGTAACTTAAAACAAGTGATGTTACCAAAGCAAGGTCAAATAATAAAGGAGTGGCCAACATCCTCCCCCCCCCCCCAACCCATCCACTTTTAAAAAGATAAACGGGCAATGTGCAAGCTCTGCTTACATCCAATTTCCTTCCATCCAATCAGGCGATCCTTGAACGTGGACGGACAAGTCGGGTCGTTTAAGAGGAGCCTACAGGATGGGAGGAGGAGGGAGAATTTCGGCCATTCTACCAGTTATAAGCCTACCTCATCACTTGCATACTCGCTGCACATCAAAGAGGAGGCCAATCTGGAGAGCAACCCAGAGTCACCGCACAGCTCTAACCCCAGGTCCAGCCCTACTGAGCTTTTTACAAATGCATCCTCTTCCTCTTGGAATTCCAGTTCTCATTTTGGGGCTTTATTCAAACTCAAAACCAGCGATGAAGCTAATAAGCATCTCAAGGACATACCCAAGCTGTTGGAAGCTGCAGGACTTTTGCCTAAACCACTTTCTGCTGAGAATGAAAACATTAAAGAGGCACGCAGGGATCAGTTCATCTCTCATTCGTCGTCTTTTGACCTCAAGATTCCCCAGGTGCGAGTTTTGGCCACAGGAACGGAACCATCTTGGGATTCCATAGCCACTGAATTTTCAGGTTCACTCCATGAGAACGGTGTCAAAAAGAAGCCTTCTTCTATTTTTCCCAGGCAGATTCAGAAAAGGAGCAGTGTGGGTTCCAATAGTTCAGGTTCGGAGAAGGAGTACTGGCCTTGTCCCTCTGACAGCCAAACCTCAGGTGGAAATTATTCTGTGGATTCAGAGTCAGACCCAGGTAACATGCAGCCAAAGAAGAAGCGAGGACGATATCGACAATACAACACTGAGCTGTTGGAAGAGGCTATTTTGGTTGTGATGGGTGGGAAAATGAGTGTATCCAAAGCCCAATCAATCTATGGAATTCCACACAGTACACTGGAATATAAAGTTAAAGAGCGTATGGGAACCTTGAAGCACCCCCCCAAAAAGAAACTGAAGCTGATAAGTCAGGTGGATGAACAGGGTGTTGAAGGTCGGGACCTCCTGAACTCTCAGAACACCGTGTTTGAGGAAAAAGAGAAGTTCTCAGCATCTACAGGCATCGGGGCTGTTTTATATGATGGAGCCCTCCAGTCTGATGTGTGATAAATCCAAAATGTGCTGATGGACTTTTTAAACAGTGCATCTTGTAGACAGCAGTCGTAGTTGTCAAAAAATGAATATTATTTATTATTCATCTGCTTTATTTTACTTCCACTTATGGTCATTTATACAAAAATATATATGTTTTTATTATATTTTACCATTTAGTGGTAATTTCCAACACACATTGTGCTGGCTAAATATTTCATAGCACTACAAATGTTTTTTTATTTTTTTATTTTTTAAAGATGGTTGATAATTTTAGCTTGGTATATGGCGCCCCTGTGTGTCTTCGTTCAGAACTTGTCATGCGTTCTAACTAAAATGAGTAATCCGGCCCTGTAGGATGCATGAAGCAAACTAATTGGTTTTAATGTGAAAGTCTCTGTAGCGATTGCACTTGTGTGACTGAATTTTACACTGTATTTAATAATGTGTCCAAAACATTAATATAATCAGCACAAAACATTTATTTATTATTATTGTATTTTGACATTTGTGACAACTTGTCCAGAATTTTATTCTTTTTCCTCTTTAACCTGTAATCACAAGTATTTTTAAAATACTTTTTTTTTTTTTTTACAAGATGGATAGTTTATTTTTAACTGCCTTCACTGGACGTAGGATAAACTCATATTGAGATGCATGCAATACTAGACAAGGAAAACATTTTGGGCAGGTGATGAGTTGATGTCCAAACATCACAATACTCAGGTACAGATATACTTTTTGAATATTTTCATCATAAAGTCCCACTGGCCAGTGCACTTTGCCTACTCTCAGATGTCTTTACAGTTTACCTTGAATTGTCAGCGACAGCATTGCAGGCAAAAACCTCCAGTTATGTGCATTTTAGGTTTATTTACCATATACAAAATATATTTTAGTATTCCAGGATTATTTCTTGAGATGCAACTTATAGAATTTCTACTTTCATCGCATAAATGATAAAACAATACTACAACTCGTAAGTTTAGTTTAAACTCGTACTTGCCTGCTGCAAGTGATTTAGAGTTGCCTCCTTCATCCTTACGCTCCTCAATACACACCCCCTACCTTACTCTCAATTACTAAAGTAAAAATTCAATGAAAATCATTTTCTGAGATTTATTTTACAGCGTTCTTTATTGTCTTTGTCTTTATTTTTTTATTGCTATAAAACAAATGTTTTATTTGTAAAGGCCTTTTCTCTCTTGACATTTTCATTGAATTTTTGCCTGGTTTTTGACCCGACCCAACAGAGCACTTCACCGTGCGTTCTCACTTTTACCTCAGGATGTTTTAGAATAATGAGGTCATGACCCGTTGTTCTTTGTATCAGGTTGACACAGCTCTATCAGGTTTTGCTTATGGAGTTTTTTTGCAATACTTGCATCCTTTTTAAATGCAAGTAATACATAGAAATTTTCAATAAAATAACGCGTTGCATAAAACATTTTACATCTAAATCAATAAGAATTCTGAAGTACCGTACAATAAAGTTCAGGGACGTTAATACTTGGATATTATTAGCACAGTAACAATAGTTAAGACAAACTAATGTTTTAGAAAATTTATTTTGGTTGTCTATTGGGACTTGCTCTAAATCGTCTTAATTTAAGGTATCTGTCTAGATTTTTTCCTTTTCACGTTTGCTAAATTTCTGCATAATGATTTTAAAAAGACAAGAAAACATGTTTTGTTTTTTGCCATATTTAAACATTAGATAAATACTATTAATTAGTTTCACAGACAATCTTTCAATAAAACTTGAATGTTTTAGATTGTACAATTTTTAACAAATATAATGGCTTAAAAGTACTTTTACTTGTTAATTGATTAGCAAACCATGGTTTTGTGTTCCTTAATTTCTATTGTTGCAATGCTAATAGTTGACTACCTCATCTGTGGGGAAAAAAATCATACAGATGTTTACTATTTTCAGATATTGTAGCAGTTTCACATGAAACAACACTTAGACTACTGGAAGTTTAGTTTACAGAAAAAAAGAATCCATGTACTTGTATAGTTACACAGCTAACCATGTGTAAATATTTCAATGTGTGTGTTTCAAGGTAATCAAACTGTGATTTTTTAATTTAATTTTAATTTTTTTTGGTCGGTCTTTGTCACTTTGGAGTGAGGATAAAACAGTCCAGAGAATTGTTTTATGGTTTGATTACAATGTGAACATTTAAGAAAATCTGCTTTGCAAGAACTGTTTTGTTGCTTGATTGTGAAAAGACAGAATTCAATTCCAATATTGATTAGTAATTTTACTATTACTTATTACTATTTCCTCATAAATGTAAACAGTTTTTAATGAAAGAAAAAAAAAAAAACATGAGACAACAGTTTAAAAACACAAATGAATTCTGTGTAAACATGTATAATTACACAATCTGAAGATGATTCAAGATGACCATCCTTTGCTTAGTAAATATATCATGGTTAAAGTCTGTTACTACCTTATGGTGGTGATACGACTCCTAAAATGACTATTGATTACTGGGAGAAAAAAAAATTACAGCTTTTAAATATTGGGCTTATTTAAATAATATAAATGAATGATGCTTAGTGTGCTTTGCATGATGGAACTAAACGATTTCTTTTTAAGAAGCTTGTGTATGTGTGTGTGTATATATATATATATATACATATATCTCTCTCTGTATATATATATATATATATATATATATATATATATATATAATATGCGCTTGTGGTGATGACTTAAAACCTCAAACTAGTGTGAGATTGTGAGGTATTATGTAACTCATTTATATTTATTATTAATTCACAAATTTAACTTGATAAAACAAATGCATGTATTTGGTGTTAGTTCGTCACAGCAACGCTAAATGAAACCCTCAGGGATGAAACTTTTGCCATTTTTTAACTCAAGGACTCACCTTGTAAGACCGTTCTGACAGGGAAGTGAAGTTAAGGCTAGCTTTTTAAAAAAAGAGGAAAAGTTTTTTTTTTTCCCTTCTGAAAGATATTTTGGGTTATAAATTATTCCTCCTTAGAGCTGAAAATATTATCTGCCTTTCAGTTTTATATATTTAAATTATGAATGTCAATACATCCTCAATCCAGGAAATTTATGACTATTTTTTAGTTGTAATATTTTAGATTGGTGCCTGTCACAGTTTAAAGTAGCTTTTTAAAAGCTGCATAGCGATACTTTTCAGTTTTTAGTTGTTGTTGTTTCTTTTTCAGTATGTCCCAATTTTTTTCTAACTTGCATCATGCACGCACGCACGCACGCACACACGCACACTTCTTTCATACCCCTCCTTTTTTTATTAAACCTTTATTTAACCAGACCGAAATCCCATTGAGATCAAGACCTCTTTCACAAGGGAGACCTGGCCAAGAAAAGACAGCAGCGCACGTCATAAAAACAAGACAAGCAACAAGATGTGTCACAATTTTGTTCCACCACATGTACCACATGTGGTGTGTATGACAAATAAAGAACCTTGAAGATACAGAATAGGACTTAGAAATATATAAAAACATACAATATAACTGTAAAGGGCAATAGTTGTAATAATGATAATTAAAAAAAATGTCCATTTAAGATTAGAAACACAGGCACTGTTGACAAGATATTTAAAGTTTTATCCCTACTGATACAAGCTTGAAATTATTCATTTTAAATTTACTGACTGATGTTTTGGTTATGCATTTTCTGTTGTTTGTTTAATCAAAAATGTTTTCTTTTTATTTAGTTTATTTGATTAAAAGTTTTGAGCACTTGTTTCTAGATATCACAGTTTGCACTTTTGACTCAAAAAAATGCCATGAAGTCTTGACAAAACCAGAGTTTTCATTATTTGCCCCCAATGTAAAAGATATTTCAAGTGATAAATGTTAGTTTGACTTATTTATATCAAACTGGGCTGCAACTACTAATTGTCTTGTGCATGTATTATTTTACTTATGTATGTGTTCATACTGTACAATTAATGTAGTAGCTGTAATAATGTAATTGGTCGGGTTGGGTAAATGATTAACTTTAAAATTTGCTCATAATAAATATGCAAAAGGAAAAAATTGAGTTATTTCTGCATTTTATTTCCTATATTTTATAATTGTTTTGCGATACATACCAAATTAGTAGTGTCAAACTAAACGGTTTCTTCTGGATATACAGTTGATGTTTGTTTTTATTCTTCTTGTCTTTGTAGTGAGTCTCCAGACCTTCGGGTCGCAAAGGCTAAAGACCTGCAGTCCACAGCCACGCTGGAACAGCTTATGAAAAAACTTTGTCCCCATCATCAGAGGCAGATAGTAGACGCCATTGGCTTTCTTCAGATGGAAGTTAAAGCACATGCGTCTTGTAACGCACAGAAAGACTCCAACTCTACCGCTGCGATCCAAGAAACAGATCGTTCCAGTGCGAACTCCAGCAGAGTCATCCTGGCAAAGTCACTCCCTGAGCTAAAGCTTCCCAGTGAATCGACTCCTAAGGCAGAAGTCCAGGAACTGTCTTATTCTGTCCCAAACAGCTGTGAACTGAAGAAGATTCCAGAGAATGCTGTGTCCCTGAAAACATCTGTAAATGCTGGCTCTGCTTTGGATATTTTCAGTCTTGCATCAGAAAATGACCAACAGCTAGCCACTTCTATTGCTAATGCAGTGGATGGAGAGAACAACCGTGATGGTGATCACGCCCCTCTTAAGATGAAAATTATGACTAGCACCGCTGCTGCTGGTAAAAAGTTGTCCTGCATTCTCAATGCCGCTTTTTCTTCTAACTCTGAAACGTTTGAGAACAAACAGGCTAACACCAATTCGCCCAGCCGGGGAGAGCCTCACAGTGCAAGACTCAGCACGTCTGCGAAAAGACTCAGTCAGACAAGTCTCGCGCATCAAGCTAGACAAATGGAGATTCTTGGCAACCTAAAAGATGCACCAGCAAGAGTGTTTCCAGTCCGTATGGCTATTTCTTCAGATTCTGCTCAAACTGCCAGGAAGACCATGAGGGTGTCCAGTGAACATGGGCTCAAGGATTCTGTTTGTATGGACATAGTTGACCCTGATATTGGTCACTGTGACATAGTTTTTATAGACAAGCCCATTACAGAGTGTTTTAAGAAGCAGCGACGTAGTTTGCTCCCACGCCGCAACGCCAGAAAAAGCACCAGGGGACATATGTATTCAGATGAAATTTGGGAGTTAAAAACTGTTCGCACATTGGCCAGAAGAGGCAGCTGTCCTAATCCAATGCCAGAGCTGATCACACTGATCACCCCAAAACATATACTTGCAAAGCCTGATGGTGTACCTCCTGTTGATTTGCCTTTTTCTGGAGCATGCACAGAGACAATGAATCACCAAACGCCCACAGAAGAGTCCAATGAGGGTGTAATTCCACGAGCAGAAGACATTGTAGAGATAGCAGCTAGTAAAGTAGACATGGTAGTTGAAATGAGTCAGACAGATCTGTGTCAGAACAAAGAGCAGTCCGGTCCAGCATCTCCATTAAAGCTCCATGTAGAGAACCAAGAAACTCTTACGGATGCTTTTGCAGAACAGGAAAAAACCGCAGAGTTAGAAATGACAGCACAAAGTGGAGAAAGTGTTGATCGCTCGCCACACGCCGAAGCAACAAAAGAGAACGAGCCGGAACCACAAAAAGTCCTAGATCTCAATACAGAGCAAACGGTTTCAGAAGCAGAGGTGCAGCCAGTAGAGAGCGATGCCATAGAAGAAGTTGAGCCCCGACTTTCATCTGATAAACTAACCAACGGTGAGCCTGATCTTCAGCAGAGCACTACCTCGTCTTCTTCAATGAATCAAGTTGAGGAAGCGATGGAGGAAGACAAAGAGGAAAATATTCAAAATGTGCAACATCAGGAACTTCAGTCTGCAACACAAACTCATCCTGACAGTGTTGACGTAACTGAGAATTTGTTGACCACAGGTTCAGCAGAGGAACTGATTGTGAAACCGGTGGAAGTTGAAACTCCTCAAGTCATCGACAGCTCAACACTTGCGGAGACAAAAAATAATGACACTGATGCATCAACAAAGGCACTTGATGCACCTCTGAAAGAGTCGCCACCTCCACGTAAGAAAAAAACTACCAAACGTTTGCTTGCAGAGTCACTGAAACTGACAGAAACAGTCGTGGGTTATGTTAATGGTAAACCTGTATCAGCTTCTGACAGGAGTTTACGCCACAGAGCAGGCAGTAACCCCATATCGCCAAGTAAAACTCCAGTAAAATCGAGTCAGAATGTACCCAACAAAACTCTTCCTGATCCTGCTGCTGATTTACCAGTTGAAATCCAAAAAGTAGAGAACCCTTCACCTGAAACACACATGCCTATGAAACTGGTGGTAACTCCTCCAGAAATTCAGCAGGTGGCAGAACCATCCTCTGAGACCTCATCAACCCAAGCATCGAAATCACCTTTAAACCCCCAAAAGATCCATTGTGACAAGAATGATCAGAAAAATAGCTTGTCTGTGCCTCCTGATCAGCCTCATGCTCAGCCTCCTGATCAGCAGCCTGCTCAGCCTCCTGATCAGTCTCTTGCTCAGCCTCCTTATCAGCAGCCTGCTCAGCCTCCTGATCAGCAGTCTGATCAG